CTGAGGATCATTGTGAAGCTGTCAATTGATAGCGTCCAGTTGGATCAAACGTCGACTGCCATATCAAGACTGATCGAGCTTTTTCGGCCGATATTATATTGGTAACTTTGCTATCTCTTGGACGAATTTGCTTCGCGTAGGGTATTTTCTGCCACCATTAAAAAGGAAGACTAAACGTATTAACGTATACTGAGTGAACATTTCGGACAGGCAGAAGTGCTTTAGGATGACAGGTGCGTCTCGTCACCCTGGCAATTGGCCTGTATCAAGGCGATCTGTGAAAGGCAACGGGAATACAGTCTGCAGGATGAGAAGGTTTGGGAACGCTACAATTTTTCAACTCAACATTGAAAGGTTACAAAATAAATTTTTAGGTGTTTTCTGGGTGAGACCAACCTACGCCACCAGTAAACAACACCAACTTGGTCACGGTTTAACGTAACAGTTCACGAACTTGAACTTTTTTTCTTTTTTCGCAGATTAGCTATTACTGCTTATATACGATATCATGGTTGATAACAAGCAATTTAGCGTCATGCTTTGTTCATGTACCAGCGCATTGTCCGCCATTTGTATGTCCCGGCGACCAATGAATACTCGATCGGCGTCTACTGTTCCATAGAAGCATGATTTTGTTGCTAGCAGCACTATCGTCGCGTGGTTTGGTAGTCAACCGTAGCGTATCGAAATCGCGGCTACAACAATAGGAATCGTGCCCTTCGAAAGGAGGTGCTAATGTTACTCTATTACTATTTGGTTCCCTATTGAATATCCCATCTAACTTATACCGGCCTATGTCTATGAATGATTGTACCCAGAAACGTTTGGATGCCTATAACTCTGTAACCAGTCCAGCCGACGTCGGCCAGTTGGTCAGATGAAAACGTGGGCCGCCGCTCACAAAAGTCTCTCCGGGAAGACATCATACGGCGCTGTCTGGCCGAAGTCGCGTTCAGATATTAGAACGATACGCCGTATGCTGCCGCATTTGACATAGTTGCTACTATACGTTCATATGAATGGAAGCGGTCAGATATAACTACCGCTAAGATACGGATGAAGCTTAAATAGAAGATTAGAATCTCAGCGATCCTTTGCACTCACTACCGCCACGGTTCATCGTGTCGCCCTTTGTTTTGCAATTCGATTGACGATATTCATTGCTACTATACATTGTTCTATTGGAGTAATATAAACAGCAATCTACTTACGATAAACGCCATGCCATGCCTGCGTTTCGAAAAAGAGAAGTACTAAAAAACTATATAATGCATATAAATATGTGCCATAAAAATATATGACACGGGCCATAGGAGCCATTTTTAAATTCCCTATGGCTGATTAGTATGTGGCCGATTTTTAAAATGTTATGGTATATCAAAATGTTCAGAAAGCCGTAGACAGACGGATTTGATGGAAAAACAATATCTATTAAACATTATTAATATTATATATTAAACAATGTACTTTTTTTAATACAATCTCTTCCTTGTGCCGAGATTGTAACGCGCAACAACTTAACTTTGTAATGAAACGGCCAAGCGACATGATTTTGTTACGAAAAAGTCAAATCTAATTGAAAAAGTATTATTTATCTATCAATTTTTTCAGGTAAGACTGAAGCACTGTTTTTGTCTCAAATCGACTATAGGCTCTCGCAGCTGATGCCGTCGGCACACGTGTCAATGCTGGTAATTTCTGTATGCGCATGCTAGACATGACGAAGTTCAAGGGAATTATTTGACGATGATTGTTCCCCTTGAAATGTATGCTACATGCAGGATTGCAAAAAAACGCGTACGATACATTGTTCCTTCCTCCGAACTATGAGCATGAGGTTTTACGTAGACTACTAACATATCGTGCAGGTATGTGAATCTTTATTATCCAACGTCAGGCAGGAACGTCTGACTACATTGAATCCAAGCTAGGTGGGTTTTCACGGATGTGATTTCAAACGTCCATTTGTTAGAGGAACGAAAACGCCCGCGAGAATTAAGGCGAAAGCAGAATTGTCCGTCGAAGAGGAAGCAACGTTCAACAGTCTCGCAACAAATACAGGCCGGCCGGTCCCTTGTCAGCGTTTTGACAATAGCCTGATCCATTTTTTAGATGAAGATGTGAAGCACGAGGAAGCAAATTCGGGTATAAGCGATTCTGATAGGCGCACGGACTTGCTCTAGAGAAGCTAATCGTGAAACAATGACTGAACGCAGCTCGCTCACGGAACTAATTGAAATGCCTGCTTCTGAATACTACCAACCGTTCACACCCATCATAGCGTTCCTATTTACGATAAGCCCCTGTGATGGCGAGAGCTCTTCGGATTTGTGCCTGGATTATCATTTATACATGTGTACTTCTGTTTATCGATTGCAAATTTTCGTCTACGGGGCCGGCACTTTAAGAATTAATAACAGATCGTTATATAAGCCGCACTTATCTATAGAAATACGAGGCCTAATTAATAATCGTAACCTATCGATTGATTGGCTGACGGCGTAAATAAGTGATCTGGTAAAGCGGAGTAATTGTGGCATGTGCACAGACACGAGTAACTAACATGCTGAAAGTAACGTTTTACCGCGCATTCTATACAATTGACGGTTCCTAGAGATGTACTGACACGCAGACTCTTCCATAGAAGGTAATTAAAATCTTTTGGAACCGTGCCGTTTTTGATGGAGGCTTTAACAAGCTCCCGCGCGCAATAATTGTTCTATATTTAGTAGTTTATTTCGAGCGACTAAATGCTCATTTGGCCTGGGAGATAATAGTCTAACCTTGGATATGTCACAACAATATGTCCTATGCAAACCGAAATAGGCATACCGAACTAATTCGGACCCCCCACTTGCAAAGGCAATTCAGTATCGGGCTTCAATTAACCTACTTCTCTAAAATTCTTCCCCCTGCAACTGCCTGTTGCTATAACAAATATAGATGTCATGGCGGATCGTCAAAGCTACGAATGGCGGCAGCATCCTTACTACTAGTATTATCGTTAAAATCGTTATTTTGCTCAGACTGTTATTACGTTTGTTTTTCCGTCCCTTTCAGATAATCACTCTTCTAGTTAATTTCCTGTACGCGCGATGCTGACCTCGATCTGAAAAACGGGTTATGCGGCAATTGTTTCCATGCTATCGGATCTTAATCGTACGCTCCAACATGGCACTGGACAATCACGACGCAGATATTATCAAGAAATAATTAGTGCGCTATGTATACTTGGCACATGTGGCTGTACTGTTTTGTTCGATAGACGAGATTAGCTGGGTTCGATACGGCGCTTGATCCATCGCTGTGTAGAAGCATGCATTAACCGCTCTGATCTCTTGGTTGGGTCTGCATCGTCCCCGATTCTGTGTCGCTACCGTCCGGCCTTTTCTAGAAGCCATAAAACAACTAGCGAACGTTTAATCCAGTGGGGATGTTCCGGGATCGTGCCGCTACCAGCGACGGGCGCCCTATGCTGCTTGCGCGTTGTTTTTGCACTTTAATTTGATTATCCAAACAGAATCGCGGGAAATTGATTGGGCGCCTAACAAAATGACTGATCGCAATGTTTCCTGAAAGTTTACCTCTGGCCATTAGAGAAACATAATTGTCCATGCGTCAAAGGGGAGAAATTGCCGTTCAGGTAAATCGAAGTTTACCAGAAGTTATTGCCAGTAACCATCATAATAATAGCATCAGTAATCGCTCAGTATGCGCCACGCGCAGCATGAGGCCATTCGAACCAAATAAACTGTAAAACTCGAGGCTACTTCAAGAGTTTTGTCTAGAGTTTCTGCAAAAACCCCAAAAGTTCCCGCTGCCCACATACTTTACGATCGCTATAGCGAAAGTACCATTAACAATATATATTGTATTCCTAGTACTAGTCACGTAAAAGCCCGACGACTTTATTTGCCACTGTTTGGGAAGTACTTTGAATTTATCGTGTTTGTTTGCGCCACCATGGCCCCTTTGGCAGAGACCCGAAATTTTACGCGTTCAATATTTTCCCGAACGGTTTCTACAGAAGAACCGTCGAGACTTGCGCGATAGTAGAATGTTTTAACTAATAAAATTAAAAAAAAAAAACAAAATTCGACTAACAATGATGGCATTCGTCCCAAAACAAGCCCCAGAGCTTTCGATTGTGCTATGAGCTGCGTTCATGCCGTGTAAACTACGCAGAGATAAAATTTAATTGTCTCCGGAAAACTCTTTATTTATATGACCATAGACAGGCTAGCAAAACGAACGTGAACCTCACGACGAGTTCATTTTACGATACTGTCAAAAAGCTATGCTTAGAAGTAATGACAGCTCTCCTGAAAACACAAGATGCCATCTTCGATCCAGCTTAGTAAATTTCCAAGCCTAAAATGATTATTATTACTGTAGATAGGATAGGACAATTCATTTTAATAAAGGTAATATGAGTGAATTTATATACACTACTATCTACCAGTATTATAGAAGATTCCCGTTTTCTCTACTTATCAGACCTAAGTAGTTATCTCAACTTCTCTAATTATCAACAACTCTAAATTATGCGATGTGTATTCAGACCGATCCTATAAAGCTGGATGGCCACGGGAGTGCAACGCTTGAAAAATACATACTGCTATATAGAAAATATATATATATGATGGTTGAATTATCCGTTAGTGTATTTATCTAAAAATGATACTCTGTTTTTTGATAATGTAGTTAACGATAATAAAGTGACAAAAAAAATTGTAATGAAATATTGAAAATTGAATTGGAAGTGTTTGGAGGCTATTAATGATTTTAGTTATATATATATATATATATATATATATATATATATATATATATATATATATATATATATAT